CGTCTCTACATCAAATGCCGTTTAGGTTGTTATTGCAATCTGACATGTTCTTTGTTTCCAGCAAAACCTTGTGCTGTTGACGAACCTAGTGATAATGTAGATCAAGACACGACTAAGATGTCTCTCCAGACAGGAGAGTTGGTAAGGTATAAATGTAAAGAAGGATATGAGAGAAGCAGTGGTAGTCTGGACAGAGTTTGTTTGTTGGATGGTTCCTTGTCTGGTTCAGCTCCAGATTGCAAGTGTAAGTAACAATGGTGCGTCACGTTTTCACGAATATCAAATTTTATTCGCAGGTGCCTATAGATTATCGATAAGCAACTTTCGTTTCTTCTTTCAGTGGCAGATACTGGAATAGGCCCGAACAGTAACGTACAATTAATTCGTTTCTCAAGAGTAGGGGGGATGTGTAAAATGTACACTGCCAGCAATGACAACTTCCGGATTACCAGAGAAGGGGAGATAATTCAATGGGATTTTTATTCTCTTTACCCTGGTGATGCTGCTTTCATAGTTTTCAGACCGACTGCCGACCCGTTCAGGTGAGTCAAGATGTGGTTAGGAACTTGAGATATAAAGCAAAATGGGAAGCGGATTGAGAGCGCCAAGGTGCAAGATGAATAAACCAAGTAGGCCTAGTAACGATCCAAACCTACAGAAGCTTAATTAAAAGTCGTTTCAGGTGTCTGGCGCTCATCCGTCATTGCTGCTGCAAAACTTGGAAAATTTGAATTGATATGCAGCCCCAAGCCCTTGTACCACCACTATGTTGAACGCACTGCTCCTTTACCTCTAAGGGGTATTCATCAATGGACGAGAAGGCCATGTTTTAACAAAGATCCCTTTTTCAGTTTCAAGATGATCGGGATAAATCGAGTATCGAATACCATCAATGATGGTGTACAGAATCTACAGATACCTATAGAAGAGAGGATACAGGTGCAGCCTGGCGATCAGATTGGATTGTGGTATGGGTACAAAAGAGCTGGTATACCGTTCGACTTCTGTGATGAAAAAGATTGCCCGGAAGCAGCCAACACGCTACAAGTATGGTCCTCATTCATATCCTTCTTCAGTGCTAGAATTGTATTGGGTGTGCGTTACATTATACCACAGAACCGAAAGTAAAAACTTGCGCGGGAAAATATTTAATTTAATTGAGAAGGTCATGATGTTTCTTGATCTAGCTCCCGATTCAATCTGATTTTTGTAGGACGTAAAACTCCCTTCATATCATTTCATTTGTGATTTTATATTACAGATAAGTGGATTCCTGTGTAATGCCAAGAGTCTACAAGTTGAGAAGGTGTTCCAGTTTGACCAGAATAGAGTAATCTGTAGAGTGTACTCATTTAGAGCTATTATTGGACCGGTAGGTGTACGTCGCTATCCCCGGGAAGCTTTGAGCTAGGGCTTCAATCCAGAAAAGGTCGAAATGATACCAGCGGATTTTTCAACCGGGTTTCTCCTTGTCAGTGATGCAAGATCTCAAGGCAGTTGTAAATCGAAAAAAGTAGTAGGAGAGAAATTTCCCTCATTACGCACATCATTAGCTTAATTTCATTACTTAATCTATTGTTAAAACACAATATTTTCTAAATCCGGGAAAGTTTCATATCTTTTTTTTTCATATTTTCAGAGCAGTTAATATAATACTTAAAGACCAAAAGATGTCTGACAGGGAAAGAATTCTACTATGGCTATGATTTTTGTAAATAAATTAGTTTTTGCAAGTGATGCCATTGTTTTCTTTACACAATCTGATGAGATATTTATACATGCACTTAACGCTCATAAGTCACCAAATTGGAAACGAACAACCTCTCCCTCTCTCATTCCAAAATATCAGCTGGGGTAACGCCCCTATTAAAACGCATCACAAGTAAATCGCAGGAACACGTTAAAACGAAACCGAAGGTATGACGTATGACTCATTTTATTACATTTTGAACGTGGTTTCATAATTTTAGCGCTGAAAACAGCATATATAATGAAACACGGTCTATAAATTAAACCAAATAAACTCTAATACAACTATAACATAATGAGTGTTAATCCCTTTTTATCTTCGCCAGCCAATCGTGATCCGCTCCTCTGAAGCAGGGGGTCGTTACAACCCAACAGTTTAAAGACAACTCGACAATTATTTCGTTAGAAAGTTTAAAAGTTTATCGCCTACAGTAACGAGCAGTAAAACAACTTCATAATGATAGCTTGTGAGAAAGTCTTTGTGAAAATTCAGCGAAATATGTAAAGCTTGGAAACCAACAGCGTAATAACAACGTAATTTACAAAATGGGAGCCTATTTAAAACTATGACACATATTTAAAATTCAGACAGCTTCGTTTCTCGTTAAGAAAGGTTTAAATGCTTCTTTAAAAGTTTTTTTTTAAAACCTTCAATTTGAATCACACGGCCATGGGTCATGACATTGGATTATATCTTGAATCGTCACATTGGATCACAACTTGTAACGTCACGTTTGATTGAAGCTTGTAACGTCATATTGAATCACAGCTTGTAACGTCACGTGTGATTGAAGCTTGTAACGTCATATTGGATCACAGCTTGTAACGTCACGTTGGATCACAATTTGTAATGCCACATGGGATTGTAGCTTGTGACGTCACACAGAATAATTTCTTGTAACGTAATATTGGATCACATCGTGTAAAGTCACATGGGTTGCAGTTTGTAACATCACAGCAAACCATTGTATTGTATAATCCTATAATATCACCATGTTTTGAACTTTCAAGGGTTATCACAATAGATTTTTCAACTAAATTATATTGGATCAGATCATCTTTGGTGATAGTCAATGGTATGTTATTTATGCTGGCTCTTGTCGAACCACTAAAAGGATTACATACCTCTATTATCTCTTATATACTTTTTCGTTTCGAAAATTCGTTGGTACCAGCACATGTAAGCCTAGCTAGCTACAGCATCAACAGAAGAAATAATGTAAAGGTTATCTGGAAGGGCATTGTAAAATACGACGTTCTCAGATGACTGCCTTATGTACTTTATTGTTGTGAAAACAAATAATAAAGCTTTTGTTCAGTCAATTTCAATTCATATTTAAGTGATATGTAGGACAAACTTATTCTAGACATTGCCACTTTAGACAACGTTGTGACACCTTTGAAATAAGTTCACACCATTTTAAAAATGTTTAACTACGCCATTGTTATTAATTACAGCCTTTTAAGTGAAATATGATGCCTTTTCGGTCTGTCGCCTTGGATGTTATTGGTGTTCAATTTAGTAAGGTGTTGATTGGTAGAAGATGTAATTTATGAAGAAATCAGAGCCTCATACTGGTCCAATTATGAGTATTTATTCTGAGTGTAGATGTTTTGGATCGCAGATCTTTGAGGATCTCGGTCTAAAGACGTCGACCGGAGTTCAACCAAGCCAGCCTTTTAATGATGGGTCTTTGGAAATTCAACCACCAGAGCTTCTGTGTTTGAAACATCAGTCTTTGGAACCGCAATTTTTAGAAGATCAGTCTCGGGATACCCAATCTTTTAGAGGTAATTCTTTGGAACCTCAATTTTTGGAAGATCAGTTTCTGAAAGTGCAATCTTTGAAAAATCCCACACCAGATGATAACTCTTTGGACTTTCAAATTGATGAAGATCATTCTTTTGAAGATCAGACCATTGGAATTCCATATTCTGAAGATTTTGGAATTCCTTCCTCAGAAATCAGTTGTGTGGATAATCTTGGACAATTGTTTCAATATATGGAAAGACCACAAGCAGATGTTGATCATGTAGACTTTCGTCGTCCTGAAAAAAGTGCCAATAAATTTCAGGGCTTGTTGAATTTTTATGATCAGAAATATCCATCAGATACTTTTAAACCTCAAGCTGTCAGACCAAAAGAAGACAAGCCAATTAACAAAATGAGACACTCTTTCTTTACAAAATTTCCTCTAGTAGTAATTTTGGCTATTGGTTATCTGACGATTTTCAATATTTTTGTGATGCTTCATCCCGACTCGTACAGAGAACAAACAAGTGAGTATCATTAAAAATAGTTTAAACTGAAAATTTATCGCCTGGTATTTTATCTGTGCATTTCTCCAGTCTTATTTTATATTAATATTTTTTTGACAAATTTAGACAATTTACGACAGATATAAATAGTAATTCAGTTACTATTTATGATATAAATATTGTTGATATTTCAATATAGATAGTGTTGATATTTCAATATAAATATTGTTGATATTTCAATATAAATATTGTTGACATTTCAATACAAATAGTGTTGATATTTCAATATAAGGACTGTTGATATTTCAATATAGATACTGTTGATATTTCAATATAAATATCGTTGATATTTCAGTATAAATACTGTTGATATTTCGATATAAATATTGTTGATATTTCAATATAGATACTGTTGATATTTCAATATAAATATCGTTGATATTTCAATATAAATAGTGTTGATATTTCAATATAAATATTGTTGATATTTCAATATAAATATTGTTGATATTTCAATATAAATATCGTTGATATTTCAGTATAAATACTGTTGATATTTCGATATAAATATTGTTGATATTTCAATATAAATAGTGTTGATATTTCAATATAAATATTGATGATATTTCAATATAAATATTGTTGACATTTTAATACAAATAGTGTTGATATTTCAATATAAGGACTGTTGATATTTCAATATAGATACTGTTGATATTTCAATATAAATATTGTTGATATTTCGATATGAATATTGTTGATATTTCAATATAAATATCGTTGATATTTCAATATAAATACTGTTGATATTTCGATATAAATATTGTTGATATTTCAATATAAATATCGCTGATATTTCAATATAAATACTGTTGATATTTCGATATAAATATTGTTGATATTTCAATATAAATATCGTTGATATTTCAATGTAAATACTGTTAATATTTCGATATAAATATCGTTGATATTTCAACAAAAAATTAATCCTATTATATTTTATTGAATATTCAATAGAAAAATTCTGACTGATAGCTGAATAGAAATTTAACTGATATTTCTATTTATGTGATATTTGTATCTATAATTCAAAATATTAACTTCATATAAACAGAGTAAATATCGATATTTCATTGAAAATCTGAATGCAATTCTCCCAAACTCGGGAAAATATTTAAATTAGTAAATTTTCAATTCTAAATCTATCACATATTTACAGATAGATTTAGATTAATATTTACTTTACTCCAGTAAATAATCTTTTCAATATTAAAATAATATATTATAATTATATTTACAATTCCTCTTTTTATCTAAAATTTCAGTGAATTTAATTGAAAATTCACAAAATAGTTTATTCATAATATTTTGAATATTTCGTTCAGGCGTCTGTTAACATTATATTTAATATTCCATCTATAATTGATTTATAAATCTATAAACTTTATATCAAAATTCTTTGAAAATTTCTTTAAAATTTCCTTGAAAATTTCGTTAAAACTTCTTTGAAAATTTCGTTAAAATTCTTCTAAGATTTAGATCAAAGAACCTTGAAATTTCGTTCAAAATTTAGCAAATCTTTTATTCAGATCTGGAATTTACTGACTATATTTATCTAGGCTCATAATATAGGTCGAATATTACATGAAAATTGCAGTACGGCAATCTCAAATATAAGTAAATTAAATTCGTATAATTCTACTCATGGAAAAGGTAAAAAAAAAACACCCCTGATCTGCCAAGTGGATCGAGGCTGAAAATGTTCAACCTGTATTTGAGATGATTGTTTTAAAAAGGATAAGTCGAGCTGAATTAATTAACAGCATCAAATTACAAAGTTACAGGTTTAAAAGCTTTTGTCAAATTTTTGAAAAAATATGTCCAAGTTTGACACTTTAAAAAGATACCTCAAAGCCATTATCAGAAAGTTGAATTATTTGAGATATTTATACAGAATAAGAATCTAAATTTGTTTAAGAGGTCGGCAAAATAATTATTGTGTATCCTTTAAACCAACAAGCTCAAACACTCGTCACTTTTTCTGATGGATCTATAATTTATTTCGCAATATATTTTGTTGAATTAAAATATTGCGCGAAAGATTCTGCGGTGGCGAAATTTTGGAGAAGTTAGATACCTTCTATGTTCTAAACCATTGTTAGTAATGTGTCGAAATGAATTCTTTAAATGAATTTACAAATTAATTGTTAAAAGGAGTAGTCAGTTGGAATAACTTAATAAGATTAAAAAAAATGAATGACTGTTATCATTTGAGAACCATGACATCAGTAAAATGAACTATTTAAAGGCTGAAAGAACGTCATTTTCAAGTTAATCGAAAGCTATTCTATGAAATTTTTAATACTTTCTGCCGCGTTTCACAAAATTAATCTATTATATATAGCTTCAATACCGTCGAATATTTTCAAAAATTGTGAATCACCATTTTATAAAGATTATTTATGATTTTCACGCCTTTTTCACATAAAAAATGTCCATTAAGATATAATTATCCAGATACACCCAAAAGTAACTTAAATAAGATGAACTTTTAAAGCAAGAATTGATGAAGCAAAGGGTGAAGAAACCCCAAAAATATATCCATTAATTATGAATTCTGGTGCTCGTCGCAGACGTTTTGTACGCAGGTTCAAATAAATAAAGGGCCCCCTGGGTGGAGACTTTCTTACATAAATTTATCCATATCTTTTTTTATACTGGTTGGATATTTTCTTCTAATTATACTGGACATTTTCTCTTTTTTAAACCGGACAATTTCACGATAGAAAGCTACAAAACCAAAAAGACTTAATACAAACTACAAATATGGGAAACATGCCTTTGGCCTTAGAATCATTGAACGAGAAAAACGTATAAAATTAGGCGGGTTATTCCCTTTAGTCTTGACAGCATTGACCTTAATCCGACATCTAAACGTTACAAATTACCCTTCTAAATCTCTTGAAATGTATACCAATCATTTTGACAGTTCGAAATATCGAATTCGCTTCATTCTTTTTACGAATTTGTCTCGGTCCAGGTCTTCAATACATTTTACATTATCTGGCAATATTTCTTTATATATCGGTATCGTTCATTTGAATATTCTCTTTGAATTTGATAGTTTAACACAAAACGAATGATTATTTCATGAATAATCCTGAAACGATCGTATTGCTCGCCGGCGGCATCGTCTTAAATCTTCTTATTATTACCTTTCATGGAGAAAAAAGGGGAAAAATTTGTATTCTGTTCATTGCTTGGAGGCTTATAATTATATAAACATTTTTAATAATAATGAAAATAATAACAGGCCTGGCCTAATGATAATAATTTGAAATCTTTCATACAGAAATTAATATAATCTTCATATGACATTTAGAAATGAATGTTTGTTTCAATTATTTTTCAGGTGAAGGAGGTATTCGATTGGTTGTTCATCCCCTGTTCGTGTCCATGTCAAAACCAACACAAATAAAGTACCCAGGTTTTCGGCCACCGATATTAGAAGATAGAATAGGCCCTTGTCAGAACATAACTCTCTCATCGTCATTTCTTACTAGGCAGAAATTCAAAATATTTTGTGATACAAGATCAGTATGGTCGACCTTTACAACAGTACGTGCAACTTCCGAAATATTCTCAATTGAATCGTCAAGCCCGTGTTTGGAAATGTACATACAATCGAACTGTTATGACGGACTTCAAGTACCAAATGTTGTCCACTACGTTTGGTTCAACAGACATTCCCTAGACGTCTATACATATCTTAGTATAATAAGCGTCTACAAAAATATTCGGCCATGTTTGATTCTAGTCCATGCTGATTACCTCCCCTTTGGTCCGTATTGGACTCACTTGCTGACACTGATCCCGAACATCATCCACGTGCGAACAGTGGCGCCATCTAGAATATTTGGCAGGAAGCTAGGCTATGTTCAGCACAAATCAGACATTGCAAGACTACAGATCTTACAAGGTAAACTGCATTATGTTGTTGGTGATGGAAATTTACTTAAAATCGAAATTTGTCTAGGCGGCATCTTCACAATGTCAAGCTATTAAAATCCTTATCTTCACAATGTCAAGCTATTACAAACTTCATCTTCACAATGTCAAGCTATAACAAACTTCATCTTCACAATGTCAAGCTATTAAAATCCTTATCTTCACAATGTCAAGCTATTACAAACTTCATCTTCACAATGTCAAGCTATAACAAACTTCATCTTCACAATGTCAAGCTATTAAAATCCTCATCTTCACAATGTCAAGCTATAACAAACTTCATCTTCACAATGTCAAGCTATTAAAAACCTTATCTTCACAATGTCAAGCTATTAAAATCCTTATCTTCACAATGTCAAGCTATTACAAACTTCATCTTCACAATGTCAAGCTATAACAAACTTCATCTTCACAATGTCAAGCTATTAAAATCCTTATCTTCACAATGTCAAGCTATTACAAACTTCATCTTCACAATGTCAAGCTATTAAAAACCTCATCTTCACAATGTCAAGCTATTAAAAACCTCATCTTCACAATGTCAAGCTATTACAAACGTCATCTTAATAATGTCAAGCTATTACAAACTTCATCTTCACAATGTCAAGCTATTACAAACTTCATCTTCACAATGTCAAGCTATTACAAACTTCATCTTCACAATGTCAAGCTATCACAAACTTCATCTTAATAATGTCAAGCTATTACAAACTGCTTTTTTACCTCAATAACTACCTTTCTTGTATAACGAAAATTTGTAAATGCAGCGATTTGATTGGTTGGAACGCTATCGAAAACAGTCAAGTCATCAACAGAAAGTCTGTAAACAAAATGGCATAATGTTTACAACATTTTTGTCGAGGGCTCTGATTGGCTGTATTCGCTGGCCTACAATCCAATCAAATTGCTGCATCTACAAACTTCAGTTATACAAGAATATTGGCTATTGCAATCAAGGTATAAGACATTGACATTGTGAAGATTGATGTGACCCTGACGGCTATGATTTTAACATTTTTTCACAAGTTTTTGTCAAAATACATTAGTAATATGAGGTTAAAATTTAAACCGGCCTACTTTTTTAAGTCCTGTAAAGATGGCCTTGTATTGAATCTGCTGTAACGCTTATTATCTCAATGGGGGCTGCAGAAATCTCTGAATGGGGGAGACTTAAGAAGCAATTTGACGGTGTTTAGACACGAGAGAATGTTATTATTCTCGATAATTGGTCTTTCTAAAAATAAAAGTACATTTAAATCAATGAACACAGCATAATATATAGTAGAAGATTTTAGACGACTGCGTTTTAACGCAAAATTTCTTTCTTTAACGTAAAACGTAGTGATACCGAGCTAGTTGGTACCGTGTTATGGATCGGACCGTACGATTTACCTCATGATAAATTCACCCAAGCTACCATTACGCTTTAACCCAAGTATATAGGCTACGATGGTGGTCATTGGCCAAAGTGTCTTCGATACACATACAAAATTTACAACACCTCTTAACAATTCCCTGTAACTTACGACCTTCAAGCCGTTTAATCATCTGAGATACACGCGCAAACGACGCACCGACCGACATCCAAGATATTCACTCAAAAACAGACTCACTCAGAACCGCACTTAACAACTCTTTTAGGGGTTTCATTCGTTTGACACGTGGAACATACAGACTCGACATCTTATTGTTAAAAACTGCATTGAGCCATGAATGAAATTTTGACATGCACCCCACCGTTTAAGAGCTGTTCAAGCATATTGACTGCATTTGAGAACAGCGGGAACACATTTAAAAACTTGACAAGCATCTTGTTAATATGATTCCTTAGTGTTCAAAACATCACAATTTACTCCTAGCGCATTGTCGAGGGTTTGCCTTAATCTCTCTCACTATTATTGCTTCAGGTATCATGCTTGTGTTCCAGCCACGTGGGAGGCCATCATTTTATAACGCAAGTCGAGAAAAATATATAATTTATGTATAACGCAGGTCTTCAATTTATGCTTTTAAACAGTTTTTTGCCTCCTAATTTGAATTTTATTTACATGTTCACGGTATGACATATTTGATACAAAGGCTGCCAAGAAGTGTCACATGGGTGTTGGCTGTATTTGTTTATTTTATGTTGTTTTTTGTTTGTACTGATATGAGTACCTTACCTATAGAGATTTATTCTAATCAGATTAACGTGACTCTCACCAAGTAAATTTGAGAAAAGTCAGAGTCGATTATTTTACAGTGTACATGTCTGATGTTTACGGGCAGCGGTATTTTTACACATTTATCTGGGGACCGGTGTTAGGTGTTAGGTGCTTGAGGGTTGGTTTATTTCTCACTTTGATACTTTATGCCCTTACATTTATCCTCTATCCCCTATACTCGTGTTCTAGGCTTCTAATGAGCCCCTTAAATGGTCAGTTTGCTACTGAAACACAGCTTATTAGTCTTGTTATATCACCCAAACTTTTTTCATAATTTTACTCCTTGAATGATATTATTTTCCTTTCTACTTCCAGCTCATGGTGGAATTTACTTTGACGTTGATCAAATCGCATTGAAAAGTTTCGACAGATTTCGACATCACCAGATGGTAATGGCGCACGAATCTAAAGACAATCTAGGAAACGCTGTGATAATATCCAAGAAAATGGCGCCATTTTTAGACGTCTGGTTCAGAAACTATAACTCGTACGATCCTAAACGATGGGGTTATCACTCCACGTATCTGCCATTGGAACTTTCTAAAAGGTACCCGGACCTAATTCACATTGAAAACAGAACGTTTTTTGATCTGGACTTGTCGAGAATCTATGAACTATACTACGGCCATGTAGAGTGGTCAGAGAGCACGGCGGTTCACTTGTACGTACGCTGGATCAAGAAATATTTCACATTGAACGAATTGCGGACAATGGACACCAGTATCGGAGAGATTGCTAGATTTATTATGTATGACTCAACTAAAATTTGTCAGGGGTGAAAACGGGCGTTTCTTTAATAAGTCTTTCAGATGCTCTACAGCACGTATTTTCAAAATATTAGTGGTGGCCAAAACCCTCCTTCACGGACACGTCGTGTCTTTTTCCTGTAATTGTATTAATTGAAAAGATCCAAAATATGAAAGAACATCTATGAGTTTTGATAAGTGTTGGCGTTTAATGTGCGATCACGTCATCGAACAATAGGCGATTTTTGGACTCCGATGATAACTTATACGAAAAGTGGCCGGTGTGCGGTGGTCCACGACATCCCTTCGGCATAATTGTAAGTGATCGGAGAATATGTGACATGTTAAATTGAAAGACATCCTTATGTGCCTTGTCCGTTAGTGTGTGTAGAATTTTAGGTACGTATCATGAACCAATGGTTGAATCCGGTAGCTCTACCGCAAGTGTGCGCTGACTACATATCGTTATGTGCTTGTGTTATTACGATTCTTTTCCGATTGGTCGTATCATATACAAATAAAAGAGTGTTCAAAGCGAAATTTTATTATTTTTGTCCAAACCCTGAAAATTATCCATCTAAAAACGATCATGGCTATTTAATAAATGTTTATCTGTCATGGTTGAACGCTATCATAACCCTATTCAGAAATAAATTGTTTTTGACTAGCCTGGGGGTATTAAAATCTTGACCGAATATTAATTACAATAGAAAAGTTTGCTACCTGGGAAGAAACGATTCTCAACGTCAAATAGTTTAACACCATTTTGTCATCTAAATTTAAAAATGCCCTCAAACTATAATGATTACCAGTTGTGTATGGTTGTGAATAATGAAAGTGGCCATGAGTTCTGAACACAACTCACAACTCAGTTGCATGAGAGTTGCGTTCGAAATTATTAACCGGTATTCTTATTCACAACCGTACACAATTGTTGATCGCTATTGCATTAGGATCACCTGAATGTTATTTCCTTCCATATTTTGATACTCTTAAAGAAATCACTTCCAGTATTGTATTGCTGCATTATCCACAATTCAAGTGTTCCATTTTATCAGGAATTCTTGCGATTAAATATTATTGTAAGCCTGTAATAATTAATGAATTTTGATGAAACTTTAGTCTCCGACACCCAGACAAATCCTGTCTTTGTAGAAGCTGTACAAAGAGGGAATGGATGATAGAGGCTAATGAAACTAGGAAAATAAAGTAAAGGATTCGTCAACATTTGACGCATGATTTCTTTGTGGGCTGAAATCTAATAAAACAAAAAGAGTTGCGTCCCATGAAAGATGTTTTCGATTACTGAGTATTCAACTTGATTGATACTGATTGGTGATAATTAGTCTAATCAGTCGGCACATTCGAAACCCTAGAGTCACGGTTTGTTCGGAATTATGCCTATTCCTTACCTAATTCGACAAAATTCAAAACCGTTGTGAAGATAAACTTCTTAATCTTGAAAAAAGAGTTTGGTCCCTTTTCCACTTTGGATTGTTGTTCGCACCCTTTTAGTCTTTCGCATAGGTAAAAGTTATCGTTCCGCTAAAACTTTTAAGAATACAAAGCGCTTTTAACGTTGTTTTTTTTTTTAATAATTTTCCTTAAATAGCTTCTTGTTATAGAACAGCATTGCTCTCTTATCGTTGATTTTATATTTTGAAGTTTTTAGGCAGTCGTCCTTTAATACATTATTATTGTTAAAGGGATCGTAAAGAAGTTTTGTAAAAAAAAGTTATGTGTATTTGGGACCCGATAGCATCAATTTGTCCCATCCCAATTTTCATTCAGACCTCTGTGGTTCTTGCAATTCCATCCACTTAAACTATGTGTTGATGACGTCACTAATCTTGAAGGGCCTCACGTGATAAACCTCTTCACAATCTCTTTAATACATTGAAGATAATCACAAGGATAAACACAAATACATCACAGTACATTAATCATTATTTATTATAGTAAAATAAATATAAATATATAATTGACTATAAACAATACTGACCTCTATTTACTATAGTAGACTAGAATGCAACAACGATATCTTTATAGTCTACTTTCAAATCATAAACCAAGTACTAGCGATCCGAACCGCAAACGAAACCCGAAAACCAAAACACCATATTGGAGAAACATTGAAGTATATCACTTATAAGTCAGTAAGTATTTCTTAATGAAACGTGGTATCAGGTGTCTAGAAGAGTAAGCATACCATGCCTGGCGCCACACCCGTTATAATGAACTTTTCGCATGATGAAGTATATCAATCATAAGTTAGTAAGTATTTCATAAATAAAAGTTATATCAGGTATCTAGAAGAGTAAGCATACCCTGCTTGGCGCCACACCCATTATAGCTGCTCAACATACACAACGCTACAAATAGACTCGTTAAAAAAATATGAATTATAAACATTAAACTACATATTGGTGTTATTGTGTAAATAAAATGAAATGGAGTTTTACGTCCTACTCTTCTGCACCGTGAGGGCTAATGTAGACGCGAATGACTGGACGCTTTTTTCATACCAGTACAAGAAAATGCCTGAGTTGGGGTCAAAAATTAGAAAAATGGAAAAGGGGTCATTGATCTTTCACAGGTCTAAGGAAAAGGCTGAGGGCATGGTCCTCATAAACACAAAAGGAAAGCTAATTTCGATGTACTAACAAAATTTTCCTTATCGCACACTTCGTTCTGTTGCCTTTGAGGAAAAGCCCACTTAAGCTCAGGGAATTAGGACGAGTAATTAGTCAAGTATATTTCAAGAATGCGGTAGTAAAGTTAAGCAAAATGTACAGACGACGTCTATTTCAAACGCTATAATGCCCCCTTTCGTACGCATGTATCGCCTTTAAATGGCCATTCATAGCGAGTCAATTAGCACAAAGCTACCGTTAACCAAGTCCCAGCGTTAAGTTAGAATTTGTTTGGCCAAGTCGAGGTGTAAATAACGAGGATATTATGCTAATGAGATCAATGAAAGCTATAGAGTATATCAAGTATTATGAATGATATACTATATTACACATTATAATGTATAATGATCACCAAAATACGTCAACATGCCCGTTATAAGACCATTGTCGATACGTCTTCTTGATTTTATATGGGTAATATTCGTGATGCGTATGGCCGGAAGTAAAGATTCTCGCTCAAGAAGACACAACGAAATATACCATTTATTGTCGAGACAGATTCAGCTTTACGGAAACTGCCGAAGATTGCCGAATGATTCGCTATGTGAATCGGTGTATCAAGATCGATGGATCTGTGCAGCGTACAGTCACATTATTGTCGCTTATTGTCAATCCGATGGGTTAGATGATTTTTAAATACCAGTCCCCTGACTTTCATCACTGACAAGGGGGAATTCTAATTGTACTATCTACGCTTGTGCTGGATTCGAACCCGTTACCACTGAGATATGCACGAAGCGTTTTACTCAAGAATAACATACATGGTTTCAAACTGATCGTCAACGGACCACTTTTATTTCAGCGTAAACCGAGAAGAGAATAAAGTCATTATATTACTAACTTTGACAATGTGAGAAATGATTGCAACTTTAACCTTGATTTTTAACATGTTGTGTTTATTTTAAATATTGGGATAATATACAGGTAATTCCTTTTAAAGGTAAGTTATTTACACAGCGTCGACATGATCGACATAATTATGGTCTTATTGCCTCGTACCTTACATTGGTGCTAGACTCTTCCATAAGGTTATATGGAAGAGGTTATACAAATACTACCACTTCCTCTCATATATAGTATATTAAAGAGGTTTTCTAACAAATAAATATGGTTCGGAGACACTTGATATATTTCTCCAAATTGGTCCTACTCGTTCCTCGGACGTGATAGACGGATGTGATATCGTCAAGGTTAGGGCCAGACTCAACGGTCACATTCGTACAACCGGTGACGTATTTAGGAGAGGACATACCACCCCACCCCCCGCCCCCCCACCGCCTCGCCAACCCCTCCCTCGGGCAAGAAAAAATGAAAAATTGCAATGATTGCATTAGATGTATTCTACACCTTCCTAGATTGGGACAAATTTGGCGGGTTACAATTAACTAGGCCCAGTTTCAGACGTAAACGAAAGGTATATATTTAAGAATATAGTGAATATGAAGTTAATATTGAACTATTCAAGGATGAAATGAAAACGATAGACGCTAAATAAAGAAAAGGGTTTAGAATTTCACGCTGAAATGAATAAATGTTTTTTTCTATTCAAAATCAGACCAGTGCACACTATAGTTTACGGTATCTTTGTATTAGTCGAAGAGATTTTTGAATAAATGAATAAAGGGCGGTGTTTTTGCGGTGTTTTTAATCCCCCAGCCACGCAATAGATACCTGTATTAAATTAGCTCTTTTCAAAATGACTAAATACAATCTTATAATACAACACTATACTCAAGTGGACTTTACTTTCTATGGATTGCTTGTTTAATGATGTTGTTGTTTATTCGGTGGTGTTGTGTGTGTTGTTTGTGTTGCTTGATGGTGTGTTGTGGTTTAATTATGTGTTGTGTTGTTATTTGCTTGATGATGTGTTTTTCCGTATCTGTTGATGTTTGATGGTGTGTTGTGTTGTTATTTGCTTGGTGGTTTGTTGTTGTGTTGTTGTTTGACGATGTGTTGTGTTGTTTGATGGTGTGTTGTGTTGTTTATTTGCTTGGTGGTTTGTTGTTGTGTTGTTGTTTGATGATGTGTTGTGTTGTTTGATGATGTGTTGTGTTGTATGTTTTGTTGTTTGATGGTGTGTTGGGTTTTATGTGTTGTTGTTTGATGGTGTGTTGGGTTTTATGTGTTGTTGTTTGATGGTGTGTTGGGTTTTATGTGTTGTTGTTTGATGGTGTGTTGGGTTTTATGTGTTGTTGTTTGATGGTGTGTTGGGTTTTATGTGTTGTTGTTTGATGATGTGTTGTGTTGTATGTTTTGTTGTGCTACACGTGTTTTGCTGTGTATTGTTGTTTTGGTATTGGTACTTTGTTATTATTTATCGTTGTCTTTTGATGTGGC